AACAAGTATAATACGAGTGATTAGTAATAAGTTCAACACTAGAACTACCGAGCATTACGATTGATATGTAATCTCTATACAAATTCTGAGAATAGAGTTTTTTCGGTTTCTTCCAAGATTCATTATAGTATTCCAGTGAAACTATTCAATTTTCGAATCACTTCGTATATGCTATGCTCTCAAGATAGGAATAATTGCGGAACAAAAGAATCGAAACCAGTAATTTTTTTAGATTTTAATTGATTTACAATTCAGTCTGCGTATCGCTAAATCAATTTCTTTAACGATTTCTCAGGGGAACATCTGTTAATTGCGAAAAGAAGAAATCTGGAATGGGTAATTTTGACCTGTTCGGTAGTTTCAGTGTTAATAATAAGATTAGCAGGTAATAGATTTATGATTACATTGTTTTGCTCGTGATCTATGTTTTACAATTTTGACAGTAGCAGAAGGATGTTGTACAAAAGCTTTAACGAGAATATGTAGAGATCAAGATGCATTAGACGACAAATCAATGAATTTCAGTTTTAAGTAATCACTGTAACGAACACGTGGTTGAACATTTACCAGGCGATCCACCAGCACGGAACGCGTTAATAACCGAACCATTTGTCTTCGTTACGAAAGAACAAGTAACGTTACACAAAACATTGAAAATTCTCGTGCCGGTCAACGTGTTAACGGCGTTCGCGCGAAATATCACGAACCGTTTTAACTCGATCGCGAAGAAACTTACCCAGAAGGTGTTCCTCACGATATAAACTTGGATGGTATTAAACAGAAGCGTGCCGGCGGAAAAAGCGGAAACGAAAAGTCGTTGCAGCCAGGTCGCGGAGACGCATTCTACTTAGAACGCGTAAATCTGAATTTCACCGGGTAACTTTTCCATCGCGGGCATTGAGTCGTAATTAACAAGTCGATAGCAACGAGAAGTTAGAGCGTTTCGCATAACATTACTCATCGTATCATAAGAAACGCGAATGATAGAATTAATTAGCAACGATTTGGTATCGTAGCTCTTAAGTCACACTATTATTTAGCTACCTACGTAACCAAATACTTCGATACATCAATTCTCTCCTTGTAATCGTTTTCAAGTAATTTCTACCACTTCGACCATCGACGTCCACTGGCGGTCGACGCGTTAACGCTTCGAATAGCCGGCGTAGGAACGTTAGGAACCGATTCTCGATTAGAAATCTCTTAGAAATCGCGCCGAAGACGGAGACAACGCGATTTCCTCCGCCTTCTCGCACGGAGTTTTCCTCGCGAAAGAAGATAGCATTACGCGCAAAATAACATCGACTTACGGTATGTCGATCGCGAGTGTAAAAGCAACGAGATCGATTGGTCCACCTCCGCGCGATGGAAGGGACGATTCCACTGCGTCTACCCGAGTCTGCCGGCGAACAGTTCAAAATTGGCTGCTATCGATCGAGAATTGTAAATTCTAACGCACCGTTGCGATTCGAGATCAGCTTGAAGCTAGATTCTCGCCGACGAGGTCTCGTCGGTTATCGACTTATCGTGTGAACCGGGATTCCTTGAAACCGATCGAATCCTCCGTTCCTAAGACCACCGAGCTGCCGAAAGTTTCTTTTATCCGATTCGCTGGCACCGACGATCTTCCGAACGCGACGCTCTCGAAGTATCGTCGCTCGCAACGTCGGTGCAGCGAAGGAACACGATTTCCCATGACAATATTTTTCTGGGCCAACGGAATCGATTTTTCCAGTGGCGACGTTAAAGAGGCGCACCATCTTTTCGAGGATAAAGGGTTCCGCGGAACGATGCCCGTGTCTCGAATTTCAACGGTGTACACTTTACCGGGACCCGTTCTCTGTCGGCGTAATTTTTCCAAAGTCCACTGCCGCGACCGTTCCCTGTTTTTCTTCTTGTTTTTCGTGCTCCCGGTGGACGAGGGTTTCTAAAGGCGAGCTCGCCGCGGCGTAGCCGCGTCAATTTTTATGGGAACGACCGCAGCGATAACGCGAGACCCGCGTCTCTTCGTTTAAAGCGAGATTAATTTTTCCAGGAAAACGGTGTCCGTGTTTCCAGCGAACATCGCGCGTCGTTCCGTCTAGTGTCCCGTGGCGTCCTGCGAGGTCCCATGTCCCGTAATGTCGTCGACACGAGCAAAGCTGGACGCTAAGAGGCATCGTTCCGCTAATAAGAGACTCCAGGGCATCGTAGACGACTCGTAAACGAGGGCGAGTGGATTCGCCGCGAGCGAGACCGGTGATCACGTTGCACTCACTGTTTCTCAGTCTAATCGACTATCAACTAATTCACGAGAACAGCTTTCTCCGAGTGCACCTCTGAAATTTTAGCCGCCGTTATCAGTACGCGGGCGACTTCATTCACCGCGAATCGCATCGATCGACCCTTTCGTCGCGTTTTCCTCGAACGGAGCTCTGATACGGAAACGGACTCGGGGTAAGTTTTTGTTCCGATGGATTTAGGCGCCTCCGTTTTTCCTGGTTGAACAGCTTCAAGAGAATATCGCAATTTTGTACACGCTTCTTTTGTCGGATTAAGTTGTCCCACGTGACATCGGTAGTTCCGAAACAGCTATATTCTTGTGATCGCGAACTCGCCCAGCTACGTCCGTAATTGCTACAATTTTCTACGGATGCCTGTGTGAAAGACGATTGAATTCGCGATCGAATTCGCCGCCGGTTTCGCGATAACCGGGTAGATCGATGAAGAATCGTCTATATTGCCGTGGATCCGGCCGCAGTCGTCGCGCGTCTAATTTCCATAACGATTGCCGGCATTGTTCGAAGCTATGCCGCGTCTCGGAGAAAATTTAATTCCACGGTAATATATTTGGGGCGAGCTGCGGCGTACGGATGAACGCGATCGAAGGTATCGAGGCCGTACGTAATTTGAAATGAAAGCCGCGGGCGGGAAGGGACGGAGGCTCGACGCGATGAAAAATCTTTCGAGTAGGTAGGTACGTACGAATCGTTATTTATTGGCTGGCGGGTCTCGAGTAGAGCCGGCTCGCTTCAGAGTATCTAGACCGGAAACTATTCGCGATTCTCGGCGCGTCGGCCTAGACAGGTCAGTCGGAAGATTCTCCGCCGAAACGGGCGGATTTCATGGAATAAAGTACACCCGCGTGTACCGTGTTCTTTCATCGGACGTCCTTTCGGGCCGCCGATAAAGATACGCCGCGCCGTTTCATTCGGCGAACCGTTTTCCAGGGAAACGTTCCGCCCGTGTTGACGGCCGTCGATTGCGACCCTCAGGGGCGGTACGGCGATTGCGGTACGGGAATTGGCGATTCCAAGGTACCCGGGCTAATCCAACCGAGCCTTATGGACGAGATACTGTGAAGGTCTCACGTTAGTTGACCTTCGGTTCAAAAGTGGAGAGGAGCGAGGAGACTCTTCCACTGAAAACGTTCGGCTTTCGGACGCACGGTCATCATTGGCGCTCATCGAAGTGCGGATAACGATCATGCGAAAACTGAGGCCCGAACATCGTCAATGCAAGAGTCCTTTGTCTCTGACGAAAGCCGAGCGTTGTGGAAGAGTCCCCTTACCCCTCTCCACTTTTGAACCGCCGGTCGACTTGGTTAACTTGGGACCTCTATAGTTAGGTATGGGAGATACTGCTTATTTTTATATAAGATCCCACAGGTCCCACCAACAGACCTGCGATGAGTCCCCTTGCTCTTCACTTTTGAATAAAAAATCGGCTTGGCTAACGTGGAACTTCCACAGTGCCTAGTATGGGAGATACTGCTTGTTCTTGTATAAGATATCAAACAGGTTCCACTAATAGACCTGCGACAATTGGTACTAGGGGGTCCAGGTGTCTAACTGTCCCGGACATTGGCTTTGTAGTGGCAATGGTTCAAAGCCAGCATGATGGGATAGAGATCTCTAGAGGATTGCGGCGCGTGAGCAGGGTCCCACCTGCTCCGGCACTAGCTTGGAGAGCTAGAGAGCTTTGGGAAAGAACTCGGCGCTACCAACAGCCCATATACTCCTCTCGCGTTAGCTCTATCGGCCGCCAAGCTGAAAGTGGACAGAGGCAAGGGGACTCGTCCACTCACGACGCTCGGACCGTCTCGACCTTCGACGCGTGGTCATTACTGGCGCGCGGCGATAACAAAGGACGGATGCGAGAATGAATGCGACGGAGTGAGACGGAACTGTAGAGAGTTTTGTTTTTGGAAACATGCGGCGGAAGCCAGGGCGGCTTAAGCGTTTCCCTTGTTTCTGTGCAGTTTTAACGTGTTAATGGCAGATATTTAGAGGAAAACTAGGGCCCCCTCTGGTCATCGATTCAATCAACCCGTCAATCTCGAACCCTTCACTACTCGAACGACTTTTGCAAAGTAGTCACTGCGGGATAGACGTGGATTTTCAGTCTCACTATGAGACTGCGTGCGTGAAAGCTCGTCGGCGGGAAATTGGGCGATTGCTCGCGTTGAAATGAGGTGAAGAAACAAATGACAAGCGACAGAGTCGATCTCATTAGAAAACTGCTTATGCGAACGCGACGAACTAACGAACCATTTTAACACGTCCAGCGCCACGGTGGTCACCGGAGTTTCCAAATTGCTTGAAAACAATTACAACAGGAAAATTGATGTTGAATCAAAATATTTAGTAACACAAAACGCTAGATAGTAGGGTAGTAATACTGTAATACCAAAACGTTAATAATTATTTCAAACTATTAGCCTTTATTACGAAGGAATAAATCTTACTATAACGAAACACTTGAAATTCTCGTGGGAACGTGTTAAAATCCTCCTGAGGTATTTCTCTCCTCACAGTAAGGATATCGAAGCGACTCGCGTAGGTGTACGGGCACACGTCCGCGTCGGGAACGCTGAAAACCACGGAATAAGGCGAGCGCTCGTATCGGTGGAGCGGGTAAAGCGGAGGAAGACGAGGACAACAGCGGAGAGGAGCGATCGTAGACTGCGGGGTTAGGTCTGGAAAGAAGATCGACACTGAAACGAAAGTAGCGGTACTTACAATATGTTTCGCGCATGAGTCGGTCGATGGTATCCTGCTTCAGTTTGCTATTCTTCTTGCCCATGTTTCTCGGAAGGATTCTCTTTCGTCGGTGCTTTCACGCGTTGCCCCTCGTCCCGGATGGTTTCCGTTGCTCCAGCTGCGAACGGTCTGGTCTCACCGCTCGGTCCGCATCTTTCGCGTTCCTCGGAATTCTCGAACACGCTCGAAGCTTTCGGGAGGATCGCGCAGCGGCCGAGTCGTCAGACGGAACTGGTTCCCTCGAGTGTTCTCCGCCGGCTGGACAGTCTCGCGGGTGGAAAAACTTGCTAGTGTCCCTTAATTTTCCACGTGTGACGCGTGTTCGGCCGGTGATTCGGAAGAAACGGTGCTCCTAATGTCCTCCCGATCCGTCGAGTTTGTCCGAAGGTACCCGCAGCATCAATTCATCCTAGATGGCCGTCTGCAAAACGTTCGAACGGTTTCGTCGGCTCGCTCTCGATCGACGTCCGCTCCGTCGCTTCGAGGACGAGTCGCGATCCAGCGAACCGCGAGAGAGCTTGCTCCACGCTGGGAAATACTCGAGTTCCCATTTCGTTTCTCGCCTCCAACGTCTCGCGCGCGGCTTATCCGCCGCTCGTCGCGCGAAATCCCCTTTCGGCCTTTCGATAAAAGTCTCCGCGCGAATTGTCCGCGCGACGCGCCCAACCGGTTCCGCGAAGTGAAACTTCGCGTTTCGAGAGCACTTCGGAAGCGAAAGTCGGATTAAGCGCGACGATCTTCGGGCGAGCGAAGAATCGCGTTAGCGTTGCACGCGGAGGGGAGTGGGAAAGAATCCCGAATGATCCGAATCGTCGGTCGCGCGTCGTCGATTCCTCCGCTTCGCGCCGGGCCGGAGCTATTACGAGCCCGGCAAAGGTCGCGACGCGAAAACGAGACGGACCTTATTTGCCACGAATCGGCGGGCTCCGGGTATTCGCGCCGCGCCTTTCACGGGCCGTTCCGGGGACTCTAAATGTCACCGGATTCAGTGACTGAATTTCCACGGGCGTAGCCGGTGATTACAGTTCCCGGCCGCTGAGCGAAAAGCGAAACGTCCCTCGCGAGATACGCCCGTCGACTTTTGTTCGAGCGGGAGGAAGTGTCTCTTCGTCGCGGGTTAGAGGACTTTATATTAGTTAATCATATGACACGGACAAACGGCTCGGCAAATGGAATTCATGGTACTCGCGTGGAATCGTCGAGCGCTGCGGGGAGAACGCGCGAGTCACGGGAGAATAGAAAGAATCGGAGTAAGAAGACTGAACGCGCATACGTATTCAATTTAACGCGTCGATAGATTATCCTGGAGCGGTGTGCGCCGTGAATGGAAAGTAAATTCCAGAAGTCGGCTGGCCTGACAGTTACGCAGCAGTGAGAAACGATCGCAAAAAAAAGGCGAAAGAAACGTTTGTCGTTGATAAATGACCCGAGGGACGGAGACCGGGGGATTACGTTCGGAAGAATTAAAGCAGAAGCCAATTGTTCGGAGCTTGAACGCCATCGACGATTAACCCCTTGGCCTACAATGGCGTGTCAGACTCGCGGCGGAGACTGCGAATAGTTGACAAACATAAATATTATTCAATTTATTCGAATTGCGGATTGTTCCTCAGATTTATCGATGATCATACCTCGGAGCGTACTTTGATGTGGAATACGACAGGAATTCTCTTTTATTTTTGGAAAACTATTGACAAACTAGTTGGAACGATTGAAGTTAACAAACATAATAGTATACTCGAATAGAAATTAACGAACAAATATTATTCAATTTATTCGAAAGCAATTTGCGGATTGTTCCTCAGATTTATCAATGATTGTACCTCGAAGCGCACGTTGATGTAGAATACGATAGGAATTCTCTTTTAGTTTTGGTGAATTATTAATGACAAACTAGTTGGAACGATTGAAGTTAACAACCATAATAGTATACTCGAATAGAAATTAACGAACAAATATTATTCAATTTATTTCAACCTAAAATACGGATTATTCCTGTTACCAGTAATTATACCTCAGAGCGCACGTTGATATAGAATAAGACTGAATTCCCCTTTTATTTTCGACAAATTATAAACAACAAAGTAGTTGGATCGATCGCAGTTCAAAAAGAACTCAGAAAGAAAGGGGTTGAGAACGGCCCTGAACTGGCACGAAGATGTTTTGTCGCGCGGAGTGAAAAGCGTACGAAACCGCGGTGGAACTCCCGACTCCGGCTCGCGTCCCTTTCTTCGAAATTCCAGTAGCACGAATCAAAGTTCCTCGACTACGCGGACATCGAGATCGCGATGGCTCTACAGTGCCCGCGCCGGCTCGCCGCTATTACATTAATCTCTCCAGGAATAATTGCTTCGTTACTCGTTGCATTATTCAGGGACGTTTCTCGGCAGGATAACGAGATATGAAACCGCGCGAATGTAATCCATTTACCGTTTACACAGTCAGATGTACGTTTCTCTTTTGCAGGCCAACACACACCGCGAAGGGCTTGCACGGCCGATCCATTAATTCCCGATCGGAGCATAGAGGAGAGAGCGAAAATTCCGCTACCTTGCTGCGCGCCGATGAATCGTCTGCGATTCCTCTTTGAATCGCGGGACGCGAGGTTCGTTCGATTCGTCAGCGTGGAATCCCGACGAGAGGAGTCGGAGCAATTCGAAAAATGGGAGCCATTACGGCATCGACAACCGGCCGTCCGGAACGATTCTTCGTTATCTACGTTCGCGAAGCACGCGAGACGCCTTCGAAAGTTGATCGGCGCCCAGGCCTGACCCCATCCTTGACCCCGCGACACGCGTAGCAACCCCTTACAGCCTTCCGTCCGGGTATACTCGTTTTCGTCTGGCACACCGGAAGCGAACGTTCGATAATAGAAAATTCGCGAGACGAGGCGCATCTTCGTGCGAGCCTTACGGCTAAAAGCCTCCGCGCTGCATCGTGCGTGCGCGGTGGTAGCTAAATGGACGGATGCCGCGCGTTGAATCGAATTAAATTTTCCAAGGGAATCTCGCGATTCGATTAACGGATTACTCGATCGTACGGCGGAAAGTAAACCGTTAATGTCGGGGAACGAATGAAATTTTCGTCTTTAAAGATTGTAATCACGTTAGCGAGCTCCGCGTTCGAGTAACGGGGAAATTTCCGTCGCGGCGAGACGGCGAGGCGAGAGGGACGCGTTTTCACGGGGAAGTTCCGCGTCGAAATTTCAGTCGCGCGGCGGGGTGAAACGCGGCACGCTCCGGAAAACGAAAACAAACGAGCCCCGTGAAACTTTGTAAAAATACGGCTGCGTTTCTGCCGGGATCCGCAGAAATTCCATTATCGATCGGCTGTTTTCAGCCACGGTACGCGTAGTCCATTCATAAGGCGGGCGAGATATCGACGCGAGCTCGATACGGTGCACCGCCAGACCGTATGCCGCGGCCGTATTCCCCTCGTGAAATAGAAACGAGGAAAATTACCGCCGTCTATTCCGCCGTTCTACAGCCTGGTTCTTCGACCACGCGACCTTTCGTCGGATTTAACCGCGTCGAAGGAAGTACGCGCATACGTGGCTCAAACTAGAGGCAAATTGATTCCGACACCGACGACACCGCGTTCTCTCGGAATAGAAGGCGAACGTAAGACAACGACGCCGCGGAAAGAAATCGGACGCGCACCGGTAGCCGACGCAGCTAATGAACAGGTGTCACGGATTCGCGTGAAACGCGAAATAACGGAATATCGAAGCGGACGGAACGCACGCGCGATCCGCCAGCGTCCGGACATTTCGGCAAACAGCACGGGAAGACTATCGGTAAACAGTTGCAGGATGAAACGCTGATTGTACGGTACCGTGACTCGAACTCTATCGGATTATTGGATATTCCGGTCTATCGGCGAGCTATATTCCCAGAAGCGAAGGCGATTCCCGACTACTCTTGGCACGTTGCTTCGTCACGCCAATCACGCCACTCGTCCAAATTATTGTACCAATTATCGTCGGACTCGAGAGACTCGCTAATACGTTCTAGCCGAAACCTCGAGAGGAAAGGTTCTAATCCTCGAACCGATTCGCGTCGGGATCTCGCACGTGCACAACCGTAATATTTGCGTTAGCTGGACCGCCGTTTCCTCGATGGAAGTACCGAAATGGAAGTCCGTCGCGCACCGTCTTATCGGGCCGCGATGGAGCCGAATGTTTCGCGATATCTCGACGACCAGCTCGCCGAATGCTAAATGGATCAATCCACGAGGAAAGCGAGGGGTCCGCGAAGTAACAGAGGATTATCTCGCGATTATTCGGCCCGACGAGCCGGAACGGCAACAGCAACACGTACGAACCACCGTATACGCGTGTCTACGTTTCCCTCGTTATCCGTCGATGCAGCCTGCGATTCGTATCCTACCGGGAGAAACGACTCGCGGCCCCCAGTGCTTTCGGACGGCGAACGATTCGGGGGGCTCGCCCCGCAGGGGGACGCGTAGTCACCGCTCGTTATCGACGCGACCGGGATCGGTGCGACCGGTGCAGTCGACGCGAAGACCACGTACAAATCGTGACCGAGGCTGCTCGACGGAAACGCCGCAGAGATTTTCGTTAGTCGGAACCGGAGAGGAAGCTCGTACCATTTCGTGCGTCCGGTCCCGTGCAGCGAGTCGAAGAGGGTTCGCAGTGATCGCCACGACGAATCGGCGGTGGCCGGAGCTCGGGGCACGCGGATTTCCCTCGCGGTTCACCGGAAGATCGACGGATGCTCGCGAGAATCGGTCTAAGCTTCGGAGCAGCGGCTTTTCATTCATGAATCCTCACCGTTGTCGAGAAACGATCGCTGAGAAAACGCGAACCAGTGACGTCATAGCGTCGCGGCGCCTGGCGTCAGACTGGCTCACCGAAGGCATTACGTGCCAGTGCGTTGCCAGCGAGACGCGCAGGCGCGAGCCACCGCTCCGGCCGGAGAATTCTCGATCGTTCCTCTTTCTTTCCTCCCTCACCCTTTCTCGCTCTCTCGCTCTCACCCTCTTTCTCCGTCGTCTTGCTTACTCTCTCTCTCCTTCTCTCTCGCTCCCTCTCGCTCTCTCCCCTTCCCACGCAGCAGTTCTCCAGCTTTCCCTCTCTTTCGACGTCTCCCTCGGCCTCCGTCCACCCCTTTCCCCTGTCGCCCCTCGAGCTCGCGTCCTGCGCCTCCGCTCCTCCTATCCCAGATACGAACCTGCTTACCGCTTTCCTATCTATCGCACCTCTATCGGGATATCCGCCGTTACCTTCTCTCCGTTCCAGTCGAACCTTGGAATTTCGAAAACGAATTGATTCCGATGACTCGGGGGTAGTTCCTTCGGCCGACGCGTTGCGTTCCTCGGATTCGTAACTCTCGCAGGTTACCATGGGCAGTCTCGGGGTTGCCGTTTCCAAAGTTCGGCCACTCGGATCCTCGGCGTCCATGGTTTTCCCTTCGCTTCGTTGTTCACTCGGAGGCGAGTAGGTAGGTACGCGCTCGTCCGTCCCTCTCCGCAATTTCACAGTCTTTTATTCCCGTCCCGCGTCAACTGTCTTCACCGCTCACCGCCCGGAGAGACAGTTTGCTCGTTTACGGTTTACGGCGCCGATAGCGGCGCAGTTTCAGGACTCCCCGGACTTCCGGCGTGTGTACAGTGCGAAGTGTAGAGCGTACGGTGTAAAGTGTACAGCGTAAAAATCGTCGGGGCCGGATAACAAACGGTCGTTCACTCTTCTTTCCTCCGGCGCGAGCGTGTTCTCCTCGGCGAGGGGTCGGGCGAACGTATGCACGCGTACGTGCACCCTCCGGCAATGAATATCGCGTCCGTGAAATTACCAACTACACGGACGACGACGGCGAGCGTGTCTGGAACGAACACAGACGACGCAGGAAGGAGCAGGGCGAGGAACAACCCCTGTCGGCGCGACGCGGAGCACCGACATGCGGCTTCTGAATTTTTCACCGATAAATATTCTTACCGTTGCTGCTCCGCCGGTACCATTACTCCGATATGAGTCTCCCGGAAGCCGACGCGATTAAGTCCAGAAATGAAATCGAGGAAATCGATGTTTATGCTTCTAACATGATTACACAACAGATTCAGAAGCTATGAAAAGGACTTCTAGAAGAAACTAATGAATCCTTTAATAACCGAGAAGAATACTATTTATTCCATGGAAATATACAAAAATCAGGAAATATCAGACACTGGACTTAACCGTCGACTTCTAAGCGACTTGTAGCGCTTTTATCCATCGCCGAACGAAATCTATTCTTCCATAGAGTCTTTCGAGTGGCGATCGGCGCTTTCCGTTGAACCACGTTCGCCTTCGTTACGAAGACTGTCGATACGTTCGGCTCTTTGTTCGATTCCTGCGGCGTGTTTCGCGGCCATCGTCGATTCCATTACCGGAACGCCGCCTCAGTTAATATTTCTAATCGCTCGATGGAACCCTCCGCGGCGACTCAACGGCGGCCAGGTCGATAAATCAACGGAGAAATCTCTGGCCTCGCTCGCCGTCGTGTTTACACCCTTTCTTTCTCCGAGCGGATCATAACTCTCGCCTTGCAAATAACATTAGCTTTCCGCCCCGCGCTGCCGCGCCGCCGCCACGCCGCGCGCAAGTTCATCCTCCGACGTTGCCCGTGACCCTTCATCATCGAATCGGCCGGCCGAACGGGACGCAGGACGAATCGGCATCCTTTTTCTCCGTCGGTGACGCCCGACCGTTCTCGGCTCCCCTCGCGGCGCGACGATTTTTTTCCGTTATCGGGATCAACGACGCCCGCCGACATTCCTCGCGATCATTTTATAGCCGCACGTCTAGCCTCGAACACCGAAAATGATGCATCGCTACGAAAATCGCGACTTCGACGACTAGATGCGAATCTCGGCCCTAGACGGACTCGTTGAAGCGGTCTCGTTATAAATAGAACGCGACCAGCCACGTCGCTGAATGATTTACCCCTTCCCCCGTCGCGAGACGACCGCTCTCGATATCTACGGACTTTCGATCGCATTCCTGTCTGCGCGTTCAATGGATTTTCGTTGTTCTCATTTTGGAATTCTAACGCGAGGGGAATCTTTTTCGAGGATACTCGTCGAGGAGAGGAGCGAGCGATGTCCTTTCAGAAATAAGATATCACTGGAAACGGAGGGAAGAAAGATTTTAATTCCTCGTAATTCGAAACAGAACTCGCCTCGGGGAAGCAGGAGAGTGTAACGCGTTTCGGGCAGTAATTTTGTCAAACGCTGTCACAGTCCTCCCAGTCGCGTTCCACTCGGCGAAAGGAAGTAGAATAGGTCGACGTTCCGTCGGACTGGAGATTCATTCGTCGAGATTTCCACGGGGGAACGTCGGATCGAATAAGCTCCACCGTGCGCGACGTTAGCGAAGCGTGATTGAATTATGAAAATTACTCTATCGAGGCGCACGAGTCCCCAGTTTTTTCCTTACTCGTGTCACGTCGACACACACGGAAAGGCGCTTCCCCGGGGTTGTAACGGATGGCCAGGTGGCGATGAATCGTTGGGTCGCGGTTGATTCGGATCGATAGATTTAAAACGAGCCTTCGGAATCGGTTCCGCCGCCATGTAGCGCCGCGGCACGCCACGCCGCGGCGCCCCGTGACCCTATGAATAAAAGACAAGCCTCGCTCGGTGCGTCTTATCGCGAGCGGCAGTCCTAGATGCTTAGGAACGCCTAATTTTCTACGTTCTTGTTGATGGCGTGTTGCTCGGGCAACCGCGGCTCTCCCTTCGACTCGACAACGACGCCACGCATCCCCTGTACATCGACGGCGAGTTAGTAATTGTAGGCTGTCTCGGTAACTGCTCGTTCCTATCGAAGTTAGTCCGTAGTTGCACGCGACAGCTGCGTAGGCAGCATTAGGCTCCACGCGACTTTCCAGGAAATCGGGATTCCTCGTGCGTTGTTTATTCATCGTTCGTTCGTTCGCAACGCGTGTTCGCGAAAGCGCGTACAGCCGGATCGTATCCGTGCCTCGATTCCTGCTCGTTCCCTTTTCGCTCGCCTCGATTCGTCCAACAAGATCGAGGCAGCTGTTGAAAAGGGACGGAGAAAACGGAAACGATTCGATTCCATCGGTGCTTCTTTCATCCGCGCGGCGAATTCCTGTTGTGTTCAAAGGAAGGGGGTTGCGTCCGACGCGATGGTAGGGGAGCGCCCGAGGCCGAATAAACGCGCGGAATAGGCAGAAACAAGGTCGAACGGGCGCAAGTAGAAGAGCGGACGCAGCAGTCCGCCGATGGGCCTGCAACGATACCGCCAACTTTCCCCGATACAGAAAACGGAAGGCTCTATAGCGCCAAACCGATAAAACTTTTCCTAGCACCGAACACCGCCGACGATACGATGAAATTAGGAACCACTTAACTTCCGTGTCGCGGGGGCGTTCTCGTTTTCGTTGCCGAACGAACCTTCGAGTGCACGTTCACCTCGCGGCGGAGATTCTCGAAAGAAAACGAGAACCTGTTTCTCTGGCCGAAGAATCGGTCGGCTCTAATTACGAATCTCTCTCCGTGGAATCCCTTCGCCGCGATAAACCGTGAAACCGGTAATAGGTGAGCAACGCGAGTCCAAGTCCGTGCCGCGACTAAATTACCGGGTAATTGGTTTACCGAGCATCGGGGCGGACTCGTCGTCGTCCTCGTAGACGGCCACGAATCCGATGGAGGCCAGGGAAATTGCGCCTCGGACCAGTCGCCGTGCTCCAGCCAGCGTCACGGCTGCACAGAGCTCGCGCACGAGCACGGGGTTCTTCTCGAGCACGGACCAAGGGTTCTCGAAACGTTCTGCAAACGACGACCTCCGTTCCGCGGTAAGCGGTGAGCGGTAAGCTGTAGCCAGTTTGCAGCGGCGGTCGAAATCGTTACATCCAGCGTATCGTTGTATGATCTCGCGAGAACGTTGCCCTTGTTCTTCGACGTTGATCCGTGTTTCCGTGGAATCGAACAATCGAATGTTTTCCAGCTCACGTTTCTATGATGGTCGACGAATGTTCGAAAAATCTCTGACCGAGAAGCGAATTGAAAACGAATAGTCTTATCTGACGCGACGGCAGTTGGAAAATCGCGCTGTAGCCGACAAAAGCGAGATGTTGATAAGAAGCCACCGTGGGTGAAGGTACATTCGATCAACTGGTGTTTTCAGCTAATGTCTAGACTGCTCGTTGAAACGGGACGCCGGCGGACGAGGAAGAAACGCCGCCGGAAGGAAATTCCGTGCATGGAACAGGTCATCTAGGAGGGAGAGCAGCGAGATGCAGAGCAAACGTTGGTTCGTTCGTTCGTTTGGCTCCGCGGAGGTTTCCTCGCGGTGCGACCGACGGCGAAGCCACCCTGTATCGACCCAGCAACGCCCACCCAAAGACCAACCCCCACCATGGATGACCCTGTCTACCGCCACCAGTGCCACGCAGTCCAAAAATTTCGATAGGATGCACCGCGTCGTCCCTCTCCTCTCCTCCCTGCTCCGCTCCTTTCTTTTTCCCTGCCAAACCGATACCATCCCACCCGCTTTTTTATTTTAATCGTGCAACGTGACACGCGCGATTCGTTTCCCGCCTGGACGCGTCGATCGAAAAAATAATGTGACTCCCGCGCGCATCAGCGAATTCGAAAACCCGTCTCGCTAAAAAGCGATCGAGGCACGGTGTCGCGAGGCGCGATCGATTCGGAAGCCAGTCGCACGAATCGATCGAGCGTATGAGAATCGGTTGGTTCTAGGGACAGACATCGTTCGGAATTTGTTGAAATCGTGGGTCGACGGAAAAGAACGCTGCTGGACGAACGGGTGGACGAACGAACGCTCTGCGTTTCAACTTCTGACCCCTGTTCTCTGCAATCTGCCCCTGCAGAAATACTCGGGAAACCGGACACGCGCGCCGGTAGGAATTTTCGTCTGTCCCATTCGAATTCGTCTAACGAAAGCTCCGTGATCGTATCGTTCCTCCCCTTGAACGCGTTGAATGCCGATTTCATAGAGAAAAATACACAAAAAAAACAGGGTAATATTAATCATTTGATTGAATTGTACTATTAGTGCACATCTAGAATGTCACCGTATTAGGTAGCATTGTTTATAATATAGAAATGTTTTCAAATAATCATCATTTAACACGTTTGCTACCAGCGTCGGATATTTGCAATGGCCGTAATCCTATATTTTACGTAACGAAAATGAAATGAATCCTATAAATATTGTTATTAGAAATTATAAACTACGACATTACATTTAGGAACTCAATGACTCGTTTTAGTTTCATTTTTCTAATATTTTGTTTAGATTTATTGGATTGAAGGAAACATAATTGAGGAGACCGTCACAGAAATAAGCGCTGGTAGCGAACGTGTTAATTAAGTGAACTGTAGTAATTCGATTTGATCGGTCACCGATGACCCCCGTGGCATTCAACGTGTTAAAGGTGGAACGCTTACGGTGGACGCTTGTAGCAAGAGTAAATTTGATCGTGTCCAAGTCGCGCGAGTAGATTACGCTCCTCGTCGTCGCGGAAGACTCTCGGCGGGGTTACGGGAGGCAGCCTGGGTTCACGGTGACCTCGCGAACACGTTTGACCTGTAAACGCAGGCCCAGATTTCGGGGAAATTTAATAAATACGTTTATTAAACCCGTTTCTCTACATCACGAATACATTTGTACACGAACGAGAGATTAAGTTGACGCGTACCGGTCTCGGCAGTATTCGCGATCACGCTTTGCCCGCGATTATTCGATTAACGGCCGCGTTAGACGTACGAAACAAAGGAAACCTTTGAACCGTGCGATCCGTTTACGCGTCCCGACGTCGGGCAGCATCGCCGACGATACCGCGCGAATCGTTTTGATTCGCGGGATATGGGAAAAGGAAGACGAACCAGCTGCAATTCGAATTTCTTCGAGCCGGCTGGGCGGAAATGCTCGCGAACGGAGACGCGAAAAGTATGCTGCCCGCGGAATTCCTGCTCGGAACTATTCCATTCGAACTGGCATTGTAATTTCGCTGGTACCAGGATTCGCCGGGGATACCTTTCGCGTCCGTGTACTCGTATATCCCTGATCCCGGCAGTCGACTCGTTCATCGGAGTGTACCGTGACACCCGCTCGAGAAACAGGTCGAGACTGTGCATTCTGAACGCGCGTGTTTCCAGTCGCGAATCGAATCTCTCCGGCATACGACGTCCTCCTCTAGTAAACTCGTTGTTCCAGCGATGTATCGCGGGAATTGTACGCTAAACGTTGCCGCCGGTTACGCCGGTTGCGTCAATATTTACCAACGTTTCGCCAGCGTCGCGCACATTCGCAAACAGGAGCCGGACGATCCGGATTTTCTCTGCTCGATTAATTCAGGGCTGCGTGTGACGCGAAGGAAATCGCCGAGGACTCGGCCCCGGTGGATGTTCAAAGCGGCTCGAGTACACGCGACGCTGGAAAAATATGAGATATACTCTCTACACGGAGACAACGATACGAACGGCGGGATCGAGGGGAGATCCATGGCGCGCCGGTACTTACTTACACCGATCGCGCGAGGAAGCGAATTAGCAACGGTTCGGTCGCGACGGAATCGTATCGATGAAACAGGAGCAGTCGACTGGAACGATATTCGACGGGTATGCAGCTGAAATGAACTCCGCGGGAATTCCGATCGATGCGTCGACGTCGGGACGAGGAAAACAACCGGGAGGACGCTCCCGTCTCGTGTCGCGTCGAAGATCGGATCGAATCTACGTTACATTTCGAATTACATTTAGTACGTGAGAGTGCGAGGATCCGTGTCGCGTCGGCTTTGGAACCCCAAGGACGCGGGAAAAGGACAGTCGAAGCGAACGCTGGTCGCGAGTCGCGAGATGCGCGTACTGGTTCCGAAAGATCGATGTCGCGGGCGGGGGAGACCTTGAGAATTCCAAAGCGAGTCGCGGACGAGCCGAGGAAAACGAGTGAAATTTCGGTCGCAGGATGGAACGACGAGGGCGGAAGAGTGCGGGAAGCGGCTCGCTAGACGCTGGCTCGCGCGAAGTGACCGGGAGTCGCAACGGCGATCGTCGGCGGCGTGGTGGTGGTGGTGGTCGTGGTGGTCAGCCTTGGCAGGGGAGAACGCTTCATCGGGAGGCCTCTTCCGCTGTGGCTGCTGTTCCCCCAGGGCCACTGCAACGTCCGGATCAAGGTGTTCCGGAAGTCCTCCGAGAACAGGCAGTAGATGTAGAACGTGATCGAGTAATTGATCACTTCCAGCAGGTTAGCCAGGGCTCGGAACACCTGGAAATGTCGGTAACAGGGTCATTTCGGGATCGTTGGAGGACGAGCATTCGAACGACAAGCTGAAAGTAGGCCGGCCGTCCGTTCCTTCGCGAATAGATTAACGATCAACGAACAACGAACGGCTGGCCGAATAGGGTACGCGAGACTTGCCTGATAAGGGTAGTGGCTGAGATTGCTTTCCCGCAGAGTGATGTTCAGAATTACCATCGGACTGACGCAGACGAGGAACAGAATGCTGGTGCTGCCTAGAAGAAGGACGAGTCTTCGTTCCTCCGCGAACGTTCTCGGGTCCTCTTCGTTGCTGACAGTCCTGGACAACGTCATGCGTCTCCGGCGCTCGCAAGATCTTCTGTAGACTATCATTATGCGCAGATTGAAGCCCGCCAATAGAATAGTGGGCGCCACTTTGAAAACGATCTCCAGCGCAACCTTGTATATCTGAGGACAAACGCCCGTGGGAAAAGAAGCGTTAACAAAGGCTTCCCGAGGAGGACTCGGAGAGGTGTTCCAGAGAATGGGACAGCGGGAGAATCTCGCATAGCTTACTTGATAGAACAACGAGTCGAGGAACGACTGGTTCTCCCGCTTCTGATAGATGATGGGCCCCGCTGGCTCCAGAAGGCAGGCCGAGATCTCTCCGCGGAACGCGCTCGGCAGATAAACCAGAAACGTTGCGAGTGGGATCAGAATCACCGTCAGATGCGGGGGACCGCAGAGCGGCCGGGTATGCTGACCGGGGTGGCAAACGCTCACGTAACGCTCCACCGTTAACGCTAGGAGCATCATCACTCCGACCCCTGCAACAACGATCGTACCTTCAACGTCGTTTCGAGCACGCTCGCGGAAGAGAAGCGAAACACGCGAGACAGCGAGTGAGAAGAGATTAAGGAGGGCAACGTAGGAACGACGGGACGGCGAATGCCACCGAACGATAAAAGAGACCATACCCAAGCATCCGTTGCCCAGAAACAGTTCGAGGTGGGCATGGTAGAACGCCTGAACCCAATTGCTCCACCGGCCTGCTTCTTTGTGAATAAGAACTCTGAGGGCGAATGGGATGCAAAAGAAAATCGCGAGAAGCGCCGCCGTCGAGTATCCTACAACAAAGGTGTAACAAAGTTAGGCTCGCTTTCGTAAAACCAACAATCGCGCGTTCCTATCGTGTTATCCATCTCTCGCGCGGCAGCCGGCTCCTTTGAGTCACCTTGCCCGCGCCGCGCCAGACTTTTTCCCGGGCCGCGATAACGGCCACCGGCAAACTTTCATTATTATCCGCCGTATCTGGACTCTTGCGGGTTCAAGAAGAATTTCACGCGTCGCAGTTCCCCGGGACGGGAACGCAATTACGCGAATTAAAGCGACGCGTAGAACTTACGAGCCGAAAAGTCTAAACGAAATTAAAGCCGGACGCGAACGAATGCGACGTCCCGACCATCTACGGGATCCAAATTGTTCCGCGAATCTAATTTGAAACGTACAATTTAAACGTGCAATTTCTCGATAAGTTAGCTCGTTTAATACAATACGTTCAGTGCCATGTGTAGCACATATGGTACATGCAGATTTTAAGGACACACGGTCAAGAATACCGGTATACGTTGCAAAGCACCGAAACCAGAAACAATATCTTGAAACTAGAATTTTTATTTGAAAAATCAATACAGTTCACAAGGAAATTATGACTGAAATTTCTGTGGCACGTGTAAACGACGCTAATCAGCGAGTGGTTCACCGTATCAACCACCCTCGTCTGAACGGTCGATTCCGCAATCGTTCAGCCGTCAATAAAAGGCTCGTCGATATACCTCGCTGCTAGACGGAGGTATCTGTCTTGTCAGTGTCCGATACTGCACCGATATCAAACTTTTTGTGCTGATAACGAGCGGTCGGGGATATCTACCTTATCGGTTTCAAGGGCGGAAGCCAGGACTTCAGGCCCGTCTAGGCACTGCGTATCTCGTTCAACGATTTCTTGCCTATGGCTCTGAAATACCGACGCCAGTGAAAATAGCCTGGTGCACTAGCGAACTCTACTTCGGCGGAACGGTCAACTAGCGAACTACTTAAGGCGGCAACGCAAAAACCGAGGGGAAACCCCGACGAGAGAGTAGCTTTCCCTATGAATATAGAGAAACGGCGTCGCGCCTATATGGAAAGATCGTTTTTACGCTCGATCGGTTACTTTGGAAGTCCTTAACACTAGAACTACCGAGCACCGAAATTGACCGTTTGAAATTCCTTTATAGAAACTTTATCTATTGAGACTTTAATTGATACACAATTCAGTTTGCGTGTAAATTAATTTCTTTAATAGCTTCCCAATGAAGCATCTATGCTTTTAATAACCGCGAAAGGAAGAAAGGAATAGATAACAGATCTTATTTGTTCGAATGGGTTAACTACGAGTTCACTAAGAATTCCGCTTTTGGCTATTCACGACTCCGCGATGAAGTTGATAGGAACGAGAATCGAGGGATTCGACGAGTACGCGCACGCCACACCGAGTTATCGGTGAAAGTCTTATCTCGAGATAGCCTCGCCGTCTCTGTTAAAACCGAATTACACGTTGCATTTAAATTACGATAACCACGGGTGTTAGCCGGATGGTAGTCGCCGACTGTTCCCATCCAAGATGTGTCCGGTTTTATTAACCTCGTCTGTTGCGATTGCCACAGCCATCCTCCCTTCGGGCGATCGATTTTTAGACTTTCTTAACGAGAGATGCTTGAAAGGGGCTCAAACTCGTTTCAACTTTCGCGTTGCCGCAGCACCGACGGCGACAAACTGTTCCACGCGGATACGTTTGAGAAATTTTTATGGCGTTTAGACGAATGGGCCCGTAAAGCTCGCGGCTTCTTTGAATTCACGACCGGTACACCCCGTTAGATGGTGGCCCATTCGTTATCGTAATATCTCCGGCGGGAACGGCGCTTTCGGACAGAAAGCAATTAACGATTCGAGGGCGTCGCGTCGTCTAATTCGATGCCGTTTAAAATTCGAACACGACTCGACGAATAGTCCGTTTCCGGCAGAAATCGGGCTCGCAACGGCGAAGAAAGGGGCTGCGAAACTCGACCGGGTGGTACGCGCAAATACCGGAGAGTCGGATTAACGTGTCACCGACCCGTTTAAATATCTCGGTTCGTTTGTCACAGCTTACGTCGCTGATTGAGTTCCGTCTCTGCTCCCTTTCAGCGGCCGAGCTCGGTAACGCGAGCACGCGACCGATAGCGTCGTAACCTTCTGATTGGAACGTTCCCGGGGAAAAAAGGAGGCGACAAGTGCATCCCCGAGAAAAGGGAGGGCCGTCCCGAAGAATTCGCGCGACAGAAACACCCTTCCTTCCGGTCCGTTTCCGCTGGATTCTGTTTGCCGAACAAAGTATCGCTGGAATATGGGGATCCGAGCGGAGTCGGGCGCCTTTAATGAAATGCGTCCTCCGTATTTCGATTCTCTCGGCGTCCGCCTCGACGCGAGTCGATCGCAATTCAAAGGCACGTTGATACGTGGCCGTTGATAAAGCGACTCGCCCCACGTTTAACGAGAATCCAGTAGGCGAGGGGAGCCTAAGGTCCTGCGTCCCGCGAATTCAACGCTTGTAACGATTCTCGCGGGAAAAGCGACTCGCGGATGAGGACAACGACAGTTTTGGGAATTTGGGATATTATCCAACGCGCGGACGTCGAATAGTTTGTCCACGGTGCAACCGGGAGATAGCGATAAAAGAATCGTCGGCTGTTTAAAATTAATTAACACTCGAAAAGCAACGGTGCGAACGCGGTAACCGAGCGGGGGTTGTTACGTGACTGGCCCGACGCGAGGTACTGCGAAGAGTTTTATAAAGCTCGCGAACGCGCGACGCGGAACGCGTACAAAACGTGTTCGCGTCGCAAAGGAATTAATTCCCGAGGTCCTCGCCGCATTTCCGCCGGCGTCGCGACGCTTATTACGTGGGATTCCCCTTCTATTCGGGGGAATCATTCCTGGATGATGTAGGTTCTTTGTCGTTCGAGTGCCCGGCTCGGAAGAAACGCCGTCCGATTTCTCCCGTAAGTTTCTACGAGCAGTTCCGAGTAACGAGTCCCGTTTAATCGCGGCGGAACGGCCGGCGAAAATTAACCGTTTTTTTCGCGTGTTTGCATAACGATCGCGTTACGCGTCGTTGCCCCGTCTACGCTCGTCAGCTCCGAACGCGTAAACGAGACCCGTTCCGAGATTATTCTGCTGGATTTCCGGTTGTCACGGAATCGTCGTGATCGCTTCGATTCGAAGATCAAAGGAATGGGATAACACGGCGAGCGCGGCGGAGAGGAGAAAAAAAAGGAGAGAACGAAAGTTTCGTGCCTTGTACGAGCGATTTGCCTAACTCGAGACTTTGAGACGCGAACGGTATAGGAGAAAGAGGATATATAGCGGCGATGTTTCTCAGGGAGCAGAATGGAGACGGAACGACGAGATTCGTTTCTCGTCCATCGACCATCGGCAGCGTTACTTTGTACGTCGATCGGCGCCCGTTCGAAAAGAGCAAAACTTTTGGACTCCATCGGATGCCTCGATAAGAGAGCCGCGGCGCTTCTATACTTTCGAATCACTTCGACACGCACGCTGGAAGGAATTCCTCGAATGCGCGCTCGTCGCGGGGAGGAAGGAGAAGAAATGGAAATAAAGGAGACAAGGAGGAAACGAAAGGAAAAGAAACGATGTTGCAAATGGCCGGAAGATACGAGCGAGATAACGAAGTTCACGGCGACGTAACAAACAACAAGTGGCTCGCAATGTTCCATGCGGCGTAAACGATCCGGAGGCGTCATACCGCGCCAAGATAATGAGCGACTAATGCTACACTTACTTGAATTTGTTGCTCGCCGAGCTTCTGTCGGGGCAATTGCGAGAAGCGACGATTACACGGTCCCGCAAATATTTACTCTTAGAGGACGAACGAACCAACGAACCGGATTTTCTTCGGGGCGCAGAGGCGCATACCATTTTCTGCTCCCGCGATCGGAGAACCGCGAACGACTGAATGAATTCATCGGGAAAAATCGGAATAAATTTGTACGCGAGAACGATCCGGAGGGAATTCGCGAGATAGGGAAACGAAGTCTTGCGAAAGGGTCGGGGAAAAGAAGGTGTCGCCCAAATTCGTTGGTCGTTGTCTCGGTGGGGCGGGAGCGATCCTTAAGATCGAGGCCACTGAATCTGCTTCGTTAGCAGCGGGACGCGTCGTACTCTCCCGTTGCTCGGCGTCTGCTTGCGCCGCTTTAGCTCGGCGTCACGCAAATTTCGTGGACCGCCTGGAACGTACGACCCTTGGATTCGCTTAAGGTGGTCCAGTATGTTTTCGCAACTTCAACCGCGTCTATTTCGATGCGTTCTATTTGAAGCTTGAGTGGGAAGTGAAGACTATGAAAGATACTGTCCACAGACATCTTTTCGCGTTCGCGTTGGAATGAAGGGCAAGTGTAGTAAGAAAACAGGGAGCAGAGTTCGGCGAAGTCGGGGAATGGGTAGAATGAAAAGAAATGAGACAGATACAGTTCTCTGAGCATTAAGGGCCAAGACGCGGGACTTCGATGCGATGCCACGCGTCAAATACAAACATGCAATAGAGGAAATATCAATTTCATTAATTCCGTGAACGTCGTACTTTCTCGAAAGTGGTACCGGTGAATTGTTGAGATTGTCGCGGTTAAAATAAGTCCAAACACGATGTAAGTCGGACTAGTTTCACTAGTTTGACCCTTTGCACTCGGAAGCTTTTCATTGGAAACATTCGACACTGAAAGTCACATCGTGGTCCGATTAGGGTTAAATCGAATGGTGAGTGAGAGTCACCTTTCGAGTGCAAAGGGTTAATTAACGGTATTAAAGGTTCGTTTCCTTAAAATCGATGAAACTAGTCCGATTTACATCGTGTTTGGACTTCTTTTAATCGCAACGATCCCAACAATCCACTGGCACTACGTTTAAGAAAGTAAGATCGAAATCAGTGGAATTGATATTTCCTTTGTTGCATGTTTATACTTCACTTCTTCTCGTTATACTCATTCTCTGACTTCGTCAAACTCTGTTCGCTCGCCGCACTTGCCCTTTCAGC